CACTTAATATAGAGATAGCTAGCTCTGTGGTCTTCACCGATCACACGCCGAGTTTTTCTATCGATGAAGTTAGGTAATGTTTTCGTAAAAGTATTAATTTCCGATGTGAATCCATTGAAGTTAAATGGTTCATTTGAAATAAATTCAATATGCAGCAAATCATTAACATCTTTGAGGTATTGTATTCATCCACATCTTATAAATAAAGCTAAGCACTAAATTATATAGATTTGCGTAGCACACACTTCGTTCAAAAAATACAATATTCAACGTATACGAGCAGGTGGCGCTACTAGTGTGTGAAGGTATACATTATCTGTGTTGTATCATGTAAAGACTGAATCTACAACATAAGTAATGTCCCGGTTTTAACAAATTTCTCAAAAAGTATGAGCATCAGTAACATGACTATCAACCTATTTAGAACATTTTACGTAAAACAAATATGATTATGTACAAAATACAACTTCTGCCTTTCTGTCTCCAGCGTCCCCCTAAGGGATAGCGGCAAGTCTACGGAATTACAATGCTAAAATCCAGGGTTCGATTCCACGTAGTGTACGCAGCAGATAGCCTAATGTGGCTTTGCTCTAATTTTCGAATAAAGTGATCAAGTGGCGCCATCTACCATCCACGCTAAAGGTTACTCATGCGCACCACACTTCTAGACAAAGTTATTAATGTGAATTTTCAATTTGATCTGATTTTATGTACGAATAAAATTTGCAAAATGTTCGTAAAATACTATGGACTTTGCAGAAGACACTTAGTAATCTTAATCACAATTCCCACTTCATTTATGTATCGCGTGTTTACTGAATATAGAGAATGACGTTTACAGACAACCTAACCTTGTTTAGCAGCTACAAGAACCTCAAGATGTTTTACTGTTAACTATCACTAGGTATACGTGCATACGTCAGAGAATCTTTTTTTTTTTAGCTATATTTATTACTACTCGATTGTACAGCATATATCACCTGGCCTATTAAAAAGAAAATACTATAATCAGCATTAGAATTATTTCAGTTTGCAAACACCACTCAAATTAAAGCCTTTGATTATCGGAATTACAAATAATAAACGTGATCTTTGTGCTGTAATGTCATCAACCTATATTTGTCTTGTTATACTGGTTTCTAGAATGGCAAAGAAGTATAATAATACTGGAGTTTATAAAATTGATTACAGTGTTTGTTGCGTAGCGTGACTGAAAGATTTGTTTCCGACGGCTTTGCGTGAGTGTTATTGTATATAGTGATTCTGGAACATTCTACAAAACGGTCTTCAAACAATAAGAACTTTTTCGTGATTAAAATTATACAACAAATAATTGTTTTATCTGTCTACCTATAAAATAAATTACTTAATTTCGTATAAGTAGCATAAACACTGAATTGGAAACTTGCTTTGATTGTCTTAAAAAAATAGGGTATTATTCCAATCGACTAGAAGTATGAATTACATGTTTACAGATATTTTACAGTACGAATTTTACCAAGAACGAGGAAACAATGGGAAATTATTTTTTTACTTAAAATAATCCTATCTTTCGGAAGTGTCTAGATATGAAGTCATAAGAGTGGAAGGAAAGGCTTCTTATTGGTTACTGTTTTAATACCGTGTAATGTCTGTGTTCTAAACAGTTGTTGCTATTCTGGTAGTCTTACTTTCAACTGTGTTTCGATAAGTTGTCTATTGCGGTTTATTTTTATTTTTGTTTCATTAGCTCGGCCAGTCGATGGCGACTGGAGATCAGCGGTTAATCTAAAAATACAAATGCCTTAACTGAAGAACTATCAAAAATGGGAAATCTGGAAGAACGTTTAAACAAATATAATGTTAATTAGTTTTAAAGGAGACGCACAGAAAGGATTAGTTTTTTATTCAGTGTTCTTGTTAATTAGTTTTAAATAAGACGCACAGAAGGGATTAGTTTTTTATTTAGTGTTATTGTTAATTAATTTTAAATGAGACGCACAGAAAGGATTAGTTTTCATTCAATGTTCTTGTTAATTATTTTAAATGAGACGCACAGAAGGGATTAGTATTTTATTCAGTGTTCTTGTTAATTAGTTTTAAATGAGACGCACAGAAAGGATTAGTTTTTTATTCAGTGTTCTTGTTAATTAGTTTTAAATGAGACGCACAGAAAGGATTAGTTTTTATTCAATGTTATTGTTAATTAATTTTAAATGAGACGCACAAAAAGGATTATTTTTTATTCAGTGTTCTAGTTAATTAGTTTTAAATGTGACGCACAGAAAGGATTAGTTTTTGTTCAGTGTTCTTGTTAATTAGTTTTAAATAAGACGCACAGAAAGGATTAGTATTTTATTCAGTGTTCTTGTTAATTAGTTTTAAATGAGACGCACAGAAGGGATTAGTTTTTATTTAGTGCTCTCTCTATATTTTTGATTCATTTATATAAAGTTGAAAAATTCATATTTCCTCTCAGTCTAATCTAATTCACAAAAATAATTACAAAAAATACTGTGAGAAGCTCATCCCTTTAATAAATGTTTCTGGTTGGCGCCACTGCTAGAAAGATATTCTAAACATTCTAATTAACTCTTCCAGATCGCTTCAAAGATGTTTCGTACAGTCAAGATATAGGGTTTTGATTGTCTGTTCCAAGACTTTAATATAATTACAGGCTGTTATGCTTGGTGAAAGAGGGTATAATTTTGTTCGAACAACAGGTTGTTTACTGACTTAAGCGTTCTTCTGAAACCCCAGTAACATATCTATCTAAAGTCAATATTTCTATATCAGTGTGTATTTAGAAGTCATAAGTCGAACACCCATACTATTAATGATAATCTTTCACAGGAGGAATGACACAATGCTGTTGTAACTCTTCATCTACCTACTTTCACATTTTATTGATCCAACAGTATGAAACTGGATAGAGGTGTTATTGTACCTTCATTCCAATACTTAAGGGATTTACATTAAGGAAAATAACCCTGAGTGTTCTTCAGGATGCACAATGCTGTTGTAACTCTTCATCTACCTACTTTCACATTTTATTGATCCAACAATATGAAACTGGATAGAGGTGTTATTGTACCTTCATTCCAATACTTGAGGGATTTACATTAAGGAAAATAACCCAGAGCGTTCTTCAGGATGTACAATGTTTGTTTGTTATGGATTTCGCGCAAAGCAACACGAGGGCTATCCCTAATTTAGCAGTGTAAGACTAGAGGGAAGGCAGCTAGTCTTCACCACCCACCGCCAACTCTTGGGCTACGCTTTTACCAGTTTATACAAATCGTAAAAAAAAAACAATGACACCAACATAAAATAACTTATTTTAACGTCAATTTGTATATTGGTTGATTAAGCTTTTAGCTAAATTACTGTACATGATTTAAGCTAAAAGTTGATTAGCATTATACAAATCGTAAAAACAATGACACCAACATAAATTAACTTATTTTAACTAGGTATATGCGTCTGAAACTGTAACCAGAAATAAAAATTTATTTTGATATTTTTTCTGGTTCTTTAGAAATGCCCGGAAGGATCACGCGATTTTCGAGAACATCAGTGTGCAAGCTTCAACAACCACCCTTTTCATGGAAAATATTACACTTGGGAGCCGTTTTACGACCGTAAGTGTAATTACAACCATTTAACTGATTAAATATGAATCCACTTTTAATCCAATCAATCTTAACTCATTTTAGTTGAACAAATTTATTGCTGAAAAATCAAAACGTGTAAAGAGAAAAAAAATGTGTCCAAAACATATTTATAATGAAAACTAGACAGAAGAATAAAGCATAAAAAAAATAAAATGTTTGGCAAATAATCTTACATACAGAATAGTAGAATGATAACTATATAGTAACACAAGTAACTAAAAGGCATGTATAGCAGACAGCAATGTTTGCAAGCAGCTTGAAAAATAATCAAATAAAAATAGCGATAATAGATAGAAAGATGATTTGAATTGTCTTAAAAGTTTTAAATTTTTTTATTAATATTCATTTTTCATTCCAGCCTCTAATCCGTGTGAACTGAACTGCAAGCGAAAAGGCGAAACCTCTAGTTATCGTCTGGCTGATAAAGTTATAAACGGTACTCCTTGCGGCAATGAATCCAAAGGCGTATGCGTAGAGGGAGAATGTTTGATGGCAAGTAGATAAGATGTCATTAATATTATAATTATATGGAACACTGTACAATAAGTCTTTTAATTAAAGTAGCTAAATCAGTTAATCAATCAACTGATCAAACCAATGCCTCATTTTGTTATCATTATACATAAATTAGCAAACGATACAACAGCAATA